AGTAGAGACAGGGTTTCACCATGTTGACCAGGATGGTCTCGATCTCTTGACCTCATGATCCACCCGCCTCGGCCTCCCAAAGTGCTGGGATTACAGGCTTGAGCCACCGCGCCCGGCGGGAACTTTTAAAATCTAATTGATTATGTGACCCTTATAATTCTAAGAAAACTGATAAGCTTAATTTCCACATCTTCACTGAAGTTGTTGATTAAAATGAATAACTAAATAAAACCTTCTCCCAGGAGAAAGTTGATCCATTAATCACCTACCTTTGGAAGCAGATATTCAACCTCAATTCAACTAAATGTATAACAACCTAGCCAAATTTCTCCATCTTGACTATAAAAAACTAAGAAATATATTGCAGGACTCCAATAAACTACCTCAATTAGTCTATTAGTTATTTGAAATGTTCACTTGGTTTGATGTATGTTCATAATGAACCAATAAACCAGTGGAGACTCCTTTTTGCTAAGAATTTAAAATCATCCGTGCAAAACTTTCTCTGAATTTTGCCTTGAATTACCATCAGTCTCACAAACCTATAACTTTCCAGGATCAAACTCTTTCCATATTTTGGGGGGAAAAAATCTCCTTTCTTCATTTGCCTGGCACCTCTCCTTCCTGTTTCCACATAATACAAATGAAATCCATAATTGCTTCCCCAAGTGCTTTCGGCATTGTGTCACATAATTTAAGTCTACAGAGTATACTAATCTGAAGGATTGTGAGGCTCTCGTACTATCTCGCTACCTATCAGCTTTGTCTTAAATATCCTTGTTATGTCCTTCCTAGCTTGACATTTGTTCCCTCTGATAAAGAAAACAGAGTAAAGGAGTTAAGATTATACCACATGCCTCAAGAATTTGTTGTCCTTACTCCAAACATAGTTTTTTTAAAAAGGTATTTTTCTTATTCTGAACTATATTCAGAATTTAGCCTTCCTGACACTCTTTTCACAGATCCATGGCTGTTGGATATGTAGCCTTTCTTTGTCCCTGTGATGCAGGTCTTTTAAAAAGTTTTGTTTTTTTATTAAAAGATTAGTATATGATTATTATTATTTGGCATGGAGTCCCACTCTGTTGCCCAGACTGGAGTGCAGTGGCATGATCTCAGCTCACTTCAACCTCCACCTCTCAGGTTCAAGCAATTCTCCTGCATCAGCCTCCCGATTAGCTCGGATTACAGACACATACCACCACACCTAGCTAATTATTTATATTTTTGGGAGACATGAAGTTTCACCATGTTATCCAGGCTGGTCTTGAACCCCTGACCTCAAGTGATCCACCTGCCTTGGTCTCCCAAAGTGCTGGAATTATAGGCATGAACCACCTATATGCTTATAATTTTTAATAAATAACCAGTAGTATATTCAGAAAAGAAGTAAGAGCTCCCTCCTCCAGCTTCAATTCCATTTCCCAAAGATACGGTGTTGACTTCCAACACATGCCATGTCCTTTTTGAGTGAGCTTATTGAGCACCCTATAAAACCACAATCTTTTGTTTGCCTCTTCTTTTTTCTTCTTCGTTGGATTTTTATTCTTTATGAAGAATCACTGGAACTGGGAGTCTCTGGTCTCCACTGAGCCATCTTTCCTCCAGCAAGTTGCTAGACATAGGCTCTCTGAGCTTTTAGAAAATTTTTGAGTGGAGAGAAAATCACCAAGGTGCTTAAGGCTGCTTAGTCCATAAAAGTAATCTGTTCTGTTGCACCATCTGCTGTGCCTTGGAAAGGAAAATCCTTTGGTCTTTAACATTAAATTCTTACAAACACCAAGTGTCTTTCCTTTACTGCCAAGAGTTTGGGGATGTGAAGTAAAAAAAAAAAAAAAAAATGTTCTTTGGCTTTCTTTCCTGTTTTAGCCAACTGGTTCTCAAAAAAGGACGGGGGTAGGGAATCATCAAGTAATACTATAGCAAAAACTTATAGACTAAAGTTTATGGAAGCAATGAAATTTCCAGCATTAATGCTCAGATTCCATTTGCATATTCAATCACTTATTGAAGCCTTTTATGCCTGGGGCACAAAGGTTTAAAAAAAGGCATGGTCCTTTCCTGCAAGATGACAATAGTGTAGTAGAAAAGCATGCAGGAGAAGAGCTTATTATGATGCAGAGTATTAAAGCCACTGAGGACATTTAGATATAATGGGAATGTCTGTATTGTGAAAATACTCAAGAGTCCAAAAGATTTTACTGAAAGTTGAGTTTTAAAGGATAGGCAAGAGTTCTGAGAAGAAGTGTTAGGGAAAGGAACTCTAGGAAGTTGATGGTCAGAAAAATCATTAGTCACACTGGGAATGCTCTAAAATACAGTAAATCTATGTGACTTCTTACAAGGGCATAGGTATCTTTTTTCTTTTATTTTTATTCAAACACAAACAGGAAGAAAAAAGTAATATACCAATATGTTAATGTTAACTTTATTCACACAAAAGTCAATGGCATTATTAGCTGTGCACATGCTACTCCTGCTTCTGTTTCCTTTATAATACTTAGCACATTCTAGAGTCCCCACACTATGTGAGTTGTGTAGGCAGATGTGTATCTGCCTTTCTCACTAGTCAAGCTTTAAGCCAAGAACAATAAATTCCTTCCTTACTTTTACAAGTCTCATATTACTGATTCCTAAATATGGGCTCAACAAATCCTGTTGAACTTAAATGTTACCTGTCTACCATTGGGCATAGGACCATCCATATTTGAACAAATCAAACCATCACCACCATCAACAAAAGGTTACTCACCAAGCAGTGGACAACACAGACATTTTTGGGATTCTGCAGTAGCCAGTTATACATATTTCGACACACAGCGAAAAGGTTGTGCAGACTGGGAGCCTGCCTAATGGGCCAACTGCATTCTGAGACCTAAGGGAACACAGCAAAAGGAAATTAATTCCCCCAGCAACTTCCTTTCCATAAGCAGGTATCACACAAAACAACTTCTGGAAGTGATACCACATCCTCTCTTAATATAGCCAGGAAAAGTGGGAATAGGGTCCAAATGCAGAAGCTCCAAATGAAGAAGAGGGTGTTTAACACAGAAATTTTTTAAATTAAAGATTTTGGTTTCAGTAAAGGTATGAAAACACATTTTGAAACACATTTTAAATTAAACTAGACCATTTCAACTACATATTTGGATTTTTTTCTGTTCTGTGAGGTTACACAGAATTTCATTTCTATTAAGCATAAAATGTTTTGACTTCCCCCCTAAATATTTAATTATAGGGTTATAAGTCCTTCACCACCTCTAATTTATCCCAGCTTTCATCATAGCATGAAAAGTGCTATAGAGTGAGCCAAACGCAGGCTTATGCATGGATCTATTTTTTTTTTTCTCTTTTAATCAAAGGACACAACTTACAGGGGAAACTCTTGGCATTTTCATGCATTTAACATGCATATTTTTTCATACATTATGGATCATCAACTAAGTTCTAGGAATACTGCTTGGCTCTGATCTATGCAATAACCATCTAAGACCGGTATTAATATAAGCCCCATTTTGCAGATGAGAAAACTGACTCTCAGAGGTTATCCAGAGTCACACTGCTGCTCAGCATCAGCACTGCAGCCCAGATCTTCTGAATATAAATCATCATGTTACAACAGCAAACAGGTTGACATGATCATTTGCCTCAAAATACTATTAAGGCATGAGCTCCAGTTGATTACATATTTACTAATTTATCTAAGAAACAATAAGGAGAAGCTTATAGTTGGACAAACTTCATGACCTCTTTAAGCCTTTCTTTCTTCATAAAATGTGGTGAGTAGCAGTACCTCTTACATAAGTCACAGGGTTGTGGACACTACATGAACATGTACTTCAAGAGCTTAGCTCAGTATCTGACACACCCAGAGTGATGATGAATGTTGGTGATTATCATTAATTCATCAAATAACTGCCAGTGCAAAGCCCTGAGGTCAGACAAAGCTGGCCATGTTTGAAAAAAATGAAATCCTCCATGGTGAGAGTATAGACTGAAGGGTGAGATCATACAGTCTTGTTAAGGAGCTGGGAGAACATTTGAGAAGCAGAACGACTCTCAGATCTACATTTCCAAAGATCTTTCAAGCTCCAGTATGGAGAAATGGATAGCAAGAGCCTAAAGGTAGGAAGACCAGTCAGGAGGTTGGTGAGGAGTGTCAATAAGGGATGACGGTGGCTTAGGCTCACTGAGAGGCAGTGGGGTACAAACACACCTGAGGGACTCAGGAGACAGAGAGGTGGTGGGACACCTGGATGTAAGACAGGTGATACATGGTGGCAGTGTGTGCATGTGCAGGGGTGTACTGAAGAGAGTGTCGGGGGAAGGAGAGGAAAGGGTCAAGCCTGAACTCCAGGTTTCTGCCTTGAATGCCTGGATAGAAGGCTACAGGAAGTGCTATTTCCTGAGACATGAAATTCTGGAGAAAGAAGAGTTTCATACAGATGGTGTCAGATATGCTCTGCAATCCCAAACATCTCAAATGCCTTCTATTTGACTGTGGGAAAGGGAGGCAGGTGGAATTTGTTTGGTTAGCCCTTTTCTGGCAACCAGGTAATAAATAATCAAAATACGACTGGGAAATTATCTGTGGTCTTAGTAGAGCTGACATCTAAAAGCAAACACCTGGAGTTTCTCTCTCTGGGACTGCCAAGAAAGCCCATTCTTTTTGGGTAATTTGTAATTTTTTTCTACAAGATGACTATGGGGCAGTGGCAAGAGAACTGCCAGGTTACCCACCTTCATATACCTTTGGGAAGGACAGTATGGTTTATTAAATAAAGTATTTGAAATGTTTGGCATAGCTCCAAAACAGTCCAGGGTGATCTAGTATTGGCCTCTGTCAATTTGAACTCTATAATGACTTGCCCCTTTTACCCAACATGATTCAAAGCTGTTTCTGGCCTCACCTTTACCCACATATATATTCCCCATTGATGTGTTTGTTCTCAAGGAATGGAAATGACTTACTGACTAAAAATTTGGAATAACTGAGAAGATACATTTTGCTGTCAGAGGAATCATAAAATATATATTTGTACAAGCTGCTTTATGTCTGAAATGTATTTTCTTCCCTTGGTAAACTCCAATTCATCTTTTAAAACCCAGGTTCAAGATATAATAGGCCTTATTGACATTTACTGAATATTTTGCCCAACTGCTACAGAATTTATATTCTTTTCATTTGCACATGGAACATTTTCTAGAATAGACCACACTTTAGTCCACAAAATGAGTCTGTACAAATTCAAAGACACAGAAATCATACCAAGTATCTTCTCTGACCACAATGGAATAAAACTTTACAACTAAATAACAAAAGGAACCTTGGAAAATATACAAACACATGGAAGTTAAACAACATGCTGCTGAACAACCAATGAGTCAATAAAGAAATTAAGAAGAAATTTAAAAATTTCTTAAAAATTAAAATAAAAATATACAAAAACATATGGGATCCAGCAAAAGAAGTACTAAGAGGAAAGTTTATAGCAATAAACACCTATATCAAAAAAAAAAGAAAGACTTCAAATTAACAACCAAACAATACGTCTTAAGTAACTAGAAAAGCAAGAACAAATCAAGGCCAAAATTAATAGAAGTAAAGAAATAATAAAGACCAGAGAAGAAATTAAGAAAATTAAAACTAAAAAAATACTGATCAACAAAA